GCTTGCAATTGTAGAGTCGCAGGTCCCCAGCAGAAAGAGTCTTTCCTGCCTGTCCATTATAGTGGGAGCAGGCCACACCCCTAAGGAAGCATCACTTTAATTGATTGGCCACTCATCATAGAGTTAACTATGCCTGTATTAGGTTTCATCACCATGGGAATAAGCACATCTCAACAGCTAAACCTCTGGAACTCCTGGCCTAGTCAAGTTCACACAGAACCCTAACCATTACAATGCTGGCCACGGTTCTGTTGTGGTCTATAGAGTTTCCATTGGCTGATTTTCAGGTATAGCTGGGGTGATTTTATAGTAGGGGTAGTTTATGTAATCAGGAGTATCAGGCACTTGGTTGAGCAAGAAATGTTTATCTCTGTGTCAAGTTTCAGGACAACAAATAATTCAGCTATTCACTCATTTATGAGCCAAAGCATGGGAATGTGGTTGGTCTTTGGCTTGGAGTCCCTGAGTGGTGCAAATGTTGTTAAGACACTTGGTTAGTAACTGGAAGATTGGAGATTCAAGTTCACCCAGAGGCACCTCAAAAGAAAAGCCTGGTGAGAAATAAGCCACTGAAAACCCTATAGAGTCTGACACACTTGGTGGCACTGTTAGTTAGGGTCAACTGGACAGCACCTGATTTGGTTCAGTTTGGTTTGATATTTGGTCTCGCCATAGGTAAACTAGGAGTCATCCTTTTACCTAGGTTAGATGAGAAAGGGACTTCATTTCAGAAGCTTTGCCCAGACACAAAGCCTGGGACAACTGTTTTGCAGGAGCACAGGGCTTAAGCAGAGCAAAACATTATCACAGAGGGAGCAGCCAGTGCAAGGCCCTGCTGTGGGGGCAGATGAGTGCAGAGGGGAAGGCAGATGGACCACAGGCAGCTCGAGGATTGTAGTCTAAGACAAGAGCATCACATAGGGTGTGGGTCTGGTTTATAAATTTAAGTTGCTTGGGCTGCAGGGTTGAGAAAAGACGAGACCAGACCAGAGTGGAGAGCCTTCCACTCTAGGTGTTGAGTGCATGAGAGGTTTGTAGAGCAGAGAGATGGTTGTGCTGGTGGGTGGGCATGGGCGTGAATGCAGGAGGGGAGTTAAGGAGGGTTCCAAAGTAGCAGGCTTAAATGCTGGATGAAGCTTAGATTCTAGAGCAAGGAAAATGGGCTGGGGTGGAGGGATACAGGACAGGAGGGTAGGAGACATGTATTTAGGGGAGAGGCCATGGGTGAGCATCAGAGGTCCTAGACAGATCTATTCATAGAGCATCGACCATGCTTTCCCCCGCCCCTCTGGGAAACAATTCTCTAAATAAGTACACATCCATGGGAAAATTCCCTTCTGGGACTCTCCCCCACTCTCAAGAACCCAATAAGACCTGAACTGCTTATTTGATTGTGAATAGAGATGGCTCTGGTAGCGTAGTGGTTACGAATCGGGCAGCAAACCACAAGGTTAGCAGTACGAAACTACCAGATCTTCCGTGGGAGAAAGATGAGGCTTACTGCTCCCGTAAGGATTTACAGCCTCGGAAACCCTATACAGGGTCACCATGAGTCGGAACCGACTCCACGGCACATAACAACAACAACAACTAGTACCCTACCTGTGATAACCAATTACCATGTGCAACATCTGAACTAGACACTGATCCCTAAAGTAGGTTTATGTCCATTCTTCAGATGGGCAAGACCAAGACTGATTATGTGGCTTGTCCAAGGTTATCAGTGATCAATGGCCAAGCAGGGATTTGGCCACCCAGCTTCCCTGCTGACCTTCCTGAATGAGGGCAGAAACAGTACTGCACCGTGGGGGTCAGAGAGGCCCCGGAGTGCAAGGCTGCTACATGTCTAGGTATTTGTGGCTCGTTTCCCCATCTCCTCACCACCCCGCTATCTCCCACCTGGCAACTTTCCAACACACTATTCCAGCAGAACTTCCATCTGGCTCTCTAGGGAGTAAAGAAAGAAAAAAAAAAATCTGTGTAGTAGAGGGGGTTTCAGAAACTAGAAAAAGTCAGAGGAGAATTTGTTTTGAGTGGGTTCAAATCACATTTGGCACAACCCAGTGTTGTTATTGTTAAGTGCCATCGAGTTGGTATCTACTCATAGTGACCCTGTGTAGGGTTTCCGAGGCGTGGCTGGTGAGCTTGAACTGCCGGCCTGGCAGTTGAAAGCAACCTTGCAGTCCAGAGCATTAGCTCACAGCACTATGCCAGGACTCCAATAGCTCGCCGTATTTAAAGACCTATCTGGTATGGCACCATGGGATAAAGCACTAGACTTCAAAGTCAGTTTGAATTGCAAGGAATTCGGTTCAAATTTACCAGCCATTCCTTGGAAACCCTATACAGGATCTCTAGGAGTCAGAGTAGACTCGATGGCACTTAACAACAACAACATAGAAGTGTGGCTCTGGACTACTAACCACAAGGTTGGCAGTTCAAACACACCAGCCTCCCCTTGGAAACCCTATACAGGGTCACTATGCATTGGAACTGACACAATGGCACTTCACAACAACAGCTAGAACAACCATAGTTGGCGAGGGAGACCTGTGGCAGTGCAGGGTACGAGAGTGGACAGCCTCGTTGCCTGGGGTAGGCTTTCTTACCAGAGGACATGGAGGGTTGAGAGTCTGATCTGACAGCGTAGGGGTGTGATTTAGCCATGAACATCAGCTGTAAGAGGCCAGGGCTACTGGGCACAACTGATGGTCTGCTTAGCACAAACCTACCACTGCATCTGCATGCCCAGGTGGTTACTGTCCAGGTATGTGTATGAGAGGACAGGGAGGGGAGTTTTCTAATCCTTCAGTCCCCGATGGGGGGGGGGGTCCCCTTGGGGCATCTACATTCGCTCAAGTAGCCTTGTGGTCTAGTTGTGCCAGTGGATGGGCTGCAGGGGCAAAGAGGAGAAGCTCCAAGAACCTCATCCAGGTCTGGAGGTTTGGAATACAGGTATGTAGGTGAAAATGGAAAGGAAGTGATTTTGAATCTGCAAAGGCCCAGCCTTCTGGGCAACTTGGATAAGGAGTTAGGGGTTCTTTTTCCCTCTGTGACTCCCCTTTGGCTTGCAGTGGCCAAGTGTGAGTTCTTCAATGCTGGGGGGAGCGTGAAGGACCGAATCAGCCTGCGGATGATCGAGGATGCAGAGAGGACTGGGACCCTGAAGCCTGGGGACACCATCATCGAACCTACTTCCGGGAACACAGGTGGGCAGGTGGGCTCTAATTGGGAGAGTGGTCTGGTTATCTCCATGTCCCAATCTGTGCTGCCCTTTGGGCTCTCCATTGGGAAAGAGTGAGCCTGTGACCAGGTTTCACTCTTTGAAACACACCTCATGACCCTGCTTCACACCGGGCAGGTCTGTCTCCAGCAAGCGCCTGGTCCATTGTAAGATCGGTGTTTGGGGAGAGCCCAGCAGGGTAGCCCCAGAGAAGAGCTGATTGTTGCTATGAGCACCCAGGGTGCCCCATGCCAGCCAATGGAACAGACCCCACTGGTTCTCTTGGGATGTCTTTGTATTTCCAAGCTTCCTCCTGTTACTTGCATTCAATCTTCTTGTGGCTCCTTGAAAGTAGAAGGGGAACAACATTGAGTTTCTTTGGAATTCTGCAATGCCTTGTCCTCAGTGCCTTTCTCAGGAGGGGCTGGGTTTCAGGTGCCCCTATGCAGGGGTGGAGTGCCGGGTCAGGGGGCTCTGCAGTCCCTCTCACTCTTGTGTGCTATCCTCAGGGATTGGGCTGGCCCTAGCTGCAGCTGTGAGGGGCTACCGCTGTATCATCGTAATGCCTGAGAAGATGAGCAATGAGAAGGTGAGTCAGCAGAGCTGGCTGGGACGTTGTGAAGGTGGGGCTCACCCTCTGCCCCTCACTACCTCACCTGGTGGTACACTGGCACAGATGGCTCTCACTCGGTGCAGGTGGATGTCCTTCGTGCCCTGGGGGCTGAGATCGTCAGGACTCCCACCAGTGCCAGGTTTGACTCCCCTGAGTCACATGTGGGCGTGGCTTGGAGGCTGAAGAATGAAATCCCTAATTCTCACATACTGGACCAGGTGAGAGGCTGGGAGCTCTCGGTTTGTACACAGAGGTTTGCACATAAATGGGATGCTTTCCTGGGGGTGTCTCTGTCAGGGGTTAAGGCGGGGCTGCAGAGGAGACAGGTGCTGGGATCAGCCAGCTGCCTGCCCCCTGAACCTGGGACGTTCTGCAGTGGCTCTGGTGGTCAGTGGACCCTTGACTCTCTGCAGTTCCAGTGCAGAGGGTGGCATATTGGCCCCTCAAAGTTCAGCTGGGATGGCCTTCCAGAGGTTCTCCACAGGCACAACATATAGAAAAATCTGCTCACTGGAAGCTCTTCCATCTAGCATGTTTCACTTCTGAATTATTCCAGAAATTGCATCTCCCTGAAAGGTGTCTCTGTCTGTTAATGTTCCTAGAATGGCCCCTATGACTGGACCCCTCTTCCTCAATTACTGGGATGCTCTCTGCTTGCTCTGAGCTATTGGCCACTGTTGATTTTATGTATCTGACTTCACACATAGCCTTTTGCTCTCTTTCCATGCAGTACCGTAATGCCAGCAACCCTCTGGCTCACTACGACACCACTGCCGAGGAAATCCTGCAACAGTGTGATGGTGTGTACTTTTTCTTGACTGTTTATTCCTGATTGCCTGTGGGGGGGGTGGTGGTGGTGGTGGTGGTATACTCTTTCCTTGGTAAACTTCGTATTATCCCTTCAAAACCCATTTCAATGAAGCGGTGAGCTAAGCCCTACAACGTTCAATAGACTTCTGTGAA